CTTCACTATTCCATTATTATACTGGGGAAGAGTATCCTGACAACCGCTTTTGGCAGAATTTTTTATGCTTATATGGCAAAGGAATAAGCGTGTAAACAGAGAAAAATATTAAAACTTTCAGTGTTAATCTATATTTTAAAATCCAAGCATATCTTGACAAATTTTCAAATACAGAATGCATGAAATTCATAAAAAATATATGAATACGATTGCATTACTGTTTCTAATTTTTTTTCCTTCAACAAAATTCTGCCTTTGATTTCTTATTTATTATTTATTTTATTCAATTGAGTATCCAGGCAGAAAATACAAAAAAGCTTTGCTAATTTCATAAAATATTGAAACACTGACACTGCGAATAGAATTCACTATTTTTATGTACTTCTGGAGCTATATCATAGTTTAATCTAGAAACCTATTTAAGGAATGTATAATTTCCTAGGCCCTTATTCTGATAAATTACTTTCGTATTTTAGAGAAGAAATATTCAAAATTCAGAAATACCATTTCTACTTGTTCAAAAGTAGTCAAGGAGCTAATCCACAAAGATTAAGAGATTAGAGAAGACACAAACATAGCCGATTTCTTAACATAATCTTTCTAAAGTGTGTCTCCTGACCTCTTGCAAGCTTTAGAAATGAGTCCAAGTCATCTTCCAAGAAAATAAAGACTACTTCTAGGTGATAATTTTTCTTAAGCCATCATTTTATTTTATTTTATTTTATTTTTTAAATTTTTATTGAATCAAAATTGATTATATATATTTTGGGGGTTCAGCATTGATATATGTTGATCAAATCAATACTACTAGCACATACATTGTTACAAATAGTAATTATTCTTTATGCCCTTTGTTCAATCTCTCCCCATCCCCCTCTCCCTTCCCACTCCCCCTTCTAATTACCCTAGATTTCTTCTCTCCTTCTGAAAGAATGATTACTCTGTTGATTTGTTGCCTAGATGATCTGTCCAATGCTGAGAGGTGTGATCAGGTCCCCCAATATTATCATAAAGCAGATGCTTCTTCTGTCACTCTGGAATGGGCTTTGTGAAGAGAGACATCCTCTTCTTTTCTTTATCTCTGTTGGTGACTCTCCCTGTGTCAATGCACTCCAGTGGCTGGGAACTATCTGCATGGTGGTTGTGGAGTCTAGCCGCTTTTGTGGCAGCCATGGTTATTGTGGTGTCTGTTGTGGGCCACCGAAATGCAGGTGATGTTTTCAGCATGCTCCTTGGTGCTGGTGGTGTGCCTGGTTGTGGGTAGTGTCTGATCCCTGGCTCCATGCCTCATGTCACCTGGCAGGCCCCAAAGCATTGTTGATGTTCCTGGGCTCGAATTGATTTTTTGTCCTTTGCTTACTTCTAACATGGGGGAACTTCCTGTGGGAACCAGTACTTTAGCTGTGTGGTTGAGCTAAATTGTTGTTTTGCTGCTATTTCCCTAGGGAAGGCTTTTTGTGCAGCTCAGGGTTTAATGGTTGACCTTATAGGTACTTCCGGCTCTCCAGAGACTTGGTGTACCTGTGTTATATAGAATCTCTGTTCTGGGCCTGAGTTTTTTCATCAAACTGCACTCCATGCAATTCTGCATTCCCAACCAGTCTCCTCTGAGTGGTCCTGTACTGATTGGGGGGCAGATCGACTGTCCTTGCTATGTCCCAGAGTTCTCCCAGTGGGCACATCTCCCCACTGCCCATGCTGCAAACAGTTCCCATGGGACAGACCCTGTGCCAGTCCCTTGCATTGACTCACCAGCTTCTGAATGGCTACCCTTTTTTCAGCTTTTCTGGCTCCTCGCTCCTGCGTGGGTCCATGGGAACCCTATTAGTGGTCTTGCTGTCATGGGGGTCACCAAGTTCCTCTTCTCCCCTGATGCCTCCAAGCAACTCCATCTGATGGGCACAGCTGCAGTTTCTGCCAGCTCCTGCTCCATGTGCTCAGCAGTTCCAGTACTAAAGCAGCCACAGCCCAAAACAGAGCAGTTTTTTCTTTCTCTCATTGTGGTTTCTCCTGCCTTCATGAACTCCATAGGTCTCTCCTCCTCTTCCCTTTAGCTCCAGTGGCCCCAGCTTGGCTGATGTTACATTTTTATAGGTGTAAATTGGTTGATTTGTGGGACAGAGTGATGCTGGGGACCGTCTATTCTAGCAGCTTGACCGGAACTCCCTAAGTCATCATTTTAAAACTTATTGCAATGTCCTAACTTCCTAATGTCCAGGTTTTCTTCTACTCCTGAAGGCATATACAGCTCTCCAGGCTAGCATGCTCCTCCCTACATTGAAGAAGGCAAACTCCTTATTACAAAGGACACCTCCTCCTATAGGGGCTTGATTATCTCAGCCTCAGAATTCACATAACCTGTTACGGAATCTACAGCTTTTGAAGAGGAGGATGAGAAATGTTTCTGTTAAAATGCTTGCATCTCTCTTTACCTTCTAACAAAGGTGTGACTTTTATGATTTGCTTATTTATTATACACCATGCTAGAGATGCTTATTTGAGTTCATACTCTCAATTAATAGCTCCATTTCCATTTGTTCCATGGTACCTGACATCAGCAACCTTATGTTCTAAACACAGGTAAGATGGTAAACTGAAGGAGAATCCAGGTAAAAGCACATAAGTAGGCATAGTGACAAGGTTAAGTGATTCTTATTTCCCAGAAAGGAAATAGCATATAATGGGGAAAGCATATAAACTGCCATTAACACATAAAATTTTGGGGATTGAGTTGTTGGAATCAGAGCCTCCAACTTATCTTTTCTTCCCATCTGAAACAAACTGACATGCAAAGGAGGGAGACAGAGAGAAGGTAATATACAACAGACATCTCTCTAGCTATCTATCTAGCTATCTAGCACTGGAATATAAATTTTAAAAGTAGTCACAGAAAATTTTGAGGCCAAAAGATACATGCTTGTATGCTCCAAATTTACTAATATTCCTCAGCATATTTCAAATGATTTCACAGCCTCCTTTAGATTCAGGCTTCCAAGAATATTACATACTTGATAAAGTTTCCCTGTAACATTTTTTTTTTTAGCATATGGACATCAGTTTATGACATTTAGAATATTTTCTGCTGAACCAGATGCCATAAATCTGGAGCCTGAGCTGAACTACATTCCTGTCCTTGAAGCTTTATCCAGGTACCACCTATCAAGAAAAGTACCCTATTTTGATTCTTGAACCATAATTTGACAACATTTGCTGTTCCTTCTCCACCCTTTTCTTGAAAACACCTTGGTTTTGTCCTTGGAGACATTCTCAAGATTCAGTGCACCTTTTTACATATTAAACAGACTCAATACTCATTTTAAAAATGCTTTATATTGATGATTGACATTCTTTGTGTACTAAAAAAAATGCCAACTTAGAGATAAGGCCTACCATCAAGCATTTAGTATTACCATATTAGTTCTCAATACATTCCATTCTGAAAACTAATTGGTCGCAATTCAGACCATATTTTAATTGGCTTTAAAATTACTCTACATACTATTTCTCTAGGACACATTTTCAAACACAGTTTGATAACAATCTTGACAAATCAAATTAGGCCTTGAATAATTTGCAAGCATTCTCAAATCTTGCCAATATTGGTAATGAGTTTTGTTGTAAAGGCTTTTCATAATTCTGATAGAATAGTTGATTTTGTACCATTGAAGTGGGCTTTGAAATGCTTGTGGAGACATGAACTTTGAGAATAAAATCTATTAAAATTACAGTTCACAGAATGAACTCAGGAAAAACCACCTGTAAAACTATGGTATCTGCCAAAAACAAACAGAAGGAGACAATTGGCCAGAATCAAAGAATAGTGAACCTCAAAGAAACATAGTTTTTCATAAAATGCGGCATTATAAAAACATGTAATACAATGAATATTTAATGAAATTCAATATTTCATAAAATTTATGACTTTGCAAGACCATCTTGGAAGACATCACTACAAATACTGGCGTGGTTTTGTATGTATATGATTGTTTTGACTAATGTCAGGATTCATCCTTTGTTTACATCGCTTCAAGATGGCACAATCTTTTCCTCTTTTTCTCACCATGGTATGTATCCTCACCAAGCAATTCACACACCATGAGTCAAACAACCATCACCAAGATCTTAGAAAAAGTATTGGCAGATTTATTTTAACAAGTGAACTGAGGCAAGAGATGATTAATTGGGTCACCCCAAGTTAGCTAGACATTAAACATTGGTCTTACTACTAAGATTATTTATAAATTTTATACTAAAAGTTCAGGTAAAGAAGTAAGGTACATTATTATGTTATTAAAACAAACTGATTGAAAATGAAAATTATATAATGTATATACACTTCCCAAATAATGCTTTTAATATTTTTTTCAAATAAAACACTGGTTTTATTGGGAAAATCTTGAGTTTGAGACATTGTGAGAGCACAACTATGACAAATTTTTGTGTGCGGGGGTGGGGAGGAACAGAATCTAGTAAAGTAATAGAAAAACAGTCTGGGTTAATAATTTTAAATGGGCTATGTCCCATTGCTCAAGGTCAAATTTTGTGAACAAAATAATCAGAGTTAAACCATAAAATATTCTTTATCATGGCCAGAATCTATTTCTGTTTATGTAAATTTCACTCCTAAACTGAAGTGAAAGATAGTTGAGGCCATACTGATATCTTTGAGATATTAAATTCCAGGGAAGTATCTTGCAATAATAGGTTCTAAAGGAATGTTTACCTGAGCATGCTTCTGAATGCAAGGAAAAAATTAGAAAGCCAAACAAATGTAACTAAGAAAGAACAGTTAATGTGTCTGAAATGAACAGGATCAAAGTTGGGAAGAAACAACTTTATTATAAATAAGTTCTCCTTTTTTCCCATATGAATTATTCTAACAACCCTTAAGAATAAATGAAAGACAGATAAGGAGTTCAAAAGCCATGTGACATCCAAAAGTCTAATATACCTAGAGGGCCAAATTCTACTGTCTGAAATATATATATATTTTTTTCTTTTTTGTCGTTTTTCGTGTCCGGCAACGGACCGCAACCCTCAGTGTCGCGCCCGTACCGGACCGGGACCGGCAACGGGATCACAACCTTCGGTGCTGCGCCCGCCCCTCGCTCAGCCAGTGAGCGGGAACCGGTCTGTATGTGTGATCCGACCCCTCGGCGGGAGTGCCGCTGCGCTCCCAAGCGGCGCACTGTAGCAGTGCGCCACCGGGCCGGCCCCTGAAATATTTTTTTTAAAAATTAACTAGAACATAATCTCATTAAATGACATAATGCAAAAGTGAACATAAAAGTTGTACAAGACAAATGTTAAACACTTTCAGAAGAAATTAATGTTTATTGCTGTAATCTTTGATATCCCTCCCATCTCCACTTAAATGCAGTTTATATATGTTACTATACATCAAACCAAGTCAGTTTAGTAATTTCTTATAAAATTCTCCCACTCAAAGTTTATAAAGATATGACAATGACTTATAGGTATTTTACAAAGAGAATTATCCTTGAATGTTTTGAATGTTTAAAATTGAAAAGAAAAAGAAAATAGAGGCTCCTACATGACTGTAAGCGCAAATATTTCAAATCAGCTTCACTAGGTGATTTTAAATGAATGCATACATTTTCACATCATTTTATGGAATACTTCTTTTCCTCATACATCTCTGAATGAATTATGCTATTTTTTCCAACTACACATACCAGAATTTTTAATATTGTATACCCACATGCTTAGGCATGATTTATTTATGTTTACTGATTACTTAGCAGTAATAGCTACTTATATGTCAAAAAAAATAAAAGCTTGATAGACTATGAAGAACCTAGATGGTTCAGCATAATTGAGAAGGAAAATTAATATCACACTGTGTTAGTTTGCTCAGGCTGCCACAACAAAATATCACAGACTGGGTGGCTTAAACAAAAGAAATTCATTTTCCTACAGTTCTGGAGAATAGAAGTCCAAGATGAAAGTGTCAGTGTTGGCAAGTTTGGTTCCTCCTGAAGCCTTTCTCCTAGACTTGCAGACCTTTTTGCTGTGTCCTTGAGACAGCAGATGCTCAGTTTCCAATTTTCAGGACACACTTCCGGGTTTCAAGCCACTCCTCAAGGTCTGAAGCCCCTCCGATAGGCCCTCCCCTAGAGGAGAGTTACTGTTGCTTGTTGGACTTATTTTTGGTACCAACAAGGGGAGATTGAGATCACAAGGGGTAGACTTATGCAAATCCAATGGCTGTGCATGCTCAGTAGAAAGGAGTTGTATAACTCTAGTAACCGAGCGTGCTTAGTGGAAGGGAGTTTATCCTTTGAATAATCTTGCATTGGAGGTGCTAAAGAGCATGGACTATTCTTGAGTATGTCTGGTGCATGTGATAGGATTTGACTAATGAACGTGCCCTGAAAGGAGACCAACTGAGCATGAGCCAGCCTGCACTCTGTACTAAACTTTAAGAGTGTATTTCTTACTTCCTTATTAAACTTGGTGTGGGCCCTGCTCAGTCTCTGGAGCTGGGCTGCACTTTCTCTGTGAAATCTGAATCTCTTATTCATTACATCAAACCCATTCTCAGTTTCTACTGCATATCTCCTCTTGAATTCTTTCCTGTGGCAGTCAAGAACCTGGTAAGAGGATGGGGTGGGCTGAGGCCAGCTATCAGGCCTCCCAGATCCTTTCTTCTGATATCATCCTCACAGGTCTTTCTTCTGTGAATACACCTCTCTGGTGCCAGTGTGACCAGAATTCCTCTTTTTATAAGAACATCAGTCAGATTAGATTAGGGCTCACCCTAACAGCCTAATTTTAAGTTAATCACTCTTTAAAGGCTTTATTACAAATATGGTCATGTTTGGAGGTTCTGGGGGTTAGAAATTCAACATATGAATTGTGGGGGAGACACAATTTATCCCATAACACATGCCAAATTACTCTAACTGCATCATTTCTTAAATTTAGATAATACTTGGTAACTTGCTATCTCTCTATCTTCTATGTAGATAGAATTGCAGGTATATTATGTAATTGTTTGGTCATTACTGTAATGAATTGATCACTTGTAGAATCCAGCAATTCCTAGTTCAGGTTTTAAAATTTGAATATTAAACGAATGAGCTTACAAATATGATCACATTTTTAAAAATAATTCATAGGTGAACAATAATTACATTATATCTCCAGGTAAGCAATGTAATTGTGACCTGTGCTTCTGATCACAAGTTTTCCACACTGAGTAAACATAGTACATTCATTCACTCATTTATTCATCTTTTTAATCCATTCATTTTTAATGTAAGAAAACATCCTGCATCAGGAGCTATAGATTCAAGTAGAATTAAAGCATGGTTCCTGTCTTCAGGAGGGTCAGAATCCAGTGGAGTGAGCTATTTAAGCAAAGACCTATTTGATCAGTGTTATAACATAGGCACTTGAGAGTACCAATGATGGTGCAAAGGAGAAAGTGGTAATAACATGAGCAGAAGTCATGGAAGGTTTTACAGAAGAGAAGTGTTATAACATAGGCACTTGAGAGTACCAATGATGGTGCAAAGGAGAAAGTGGTAATAACTCATGTTATTACTCTCCCAGAAGTCAGGGAAGGTTTTACAGAAGAGGTGACTTAAATGAGTAGGTACTCACTG